CACCAGCTTGGGGCTGGGTGCGAGGCTGTTGCTGTGATCCTGGCCCACGCCCTCGGCGAGGGGTCGGGGATCAGTTCCATTATTCGGGGTTTTCTTTGGAACGATACGGGAACTGGAATATATATTGGGTTGTTAACTGTGTTTATAGTGGTTTCAGCGAGAAGCATAGGCTAAGAGCCGGATAATAGCGTGGGCACCTATTCTGTCTAACCTAGGGGTCTATCGTAGTAATAGTGCAGGCGGCTTGCACTACAGCCTCCCTCTGCCGGCAGCGAGATGGCGCGTGATACCGACAACAGCCGAGAAGTGGATGACGGAGTATCTCTTGAGGACAGTCAATCCGTCACAAAGGTTAAGTTGCCACCGTGGTGGTGGGAGCTCGTTGTCAATGAGGGCTCCAAAATGGAAGGAATGTTGTGCACCGTGGGCACACCGGCCGTACTACCCGTGGAGGTGGTAGGGCATTCCTGTGACGCGCTCCTGGACACTGGAGCCTCACGCAGTTTCATCAACCCTCGATTGGTTGAAGCCTTGCAACTGAAAGTGAGGAAACTTTCGGATGTGTGTGCATTTACCGTAGCGAACGGTGCTCAGCTGCGTATTGATCGAACCGTGAAGAACTTGACGGTCTGGTGTGGACGTGAATGTTTTACCGGCGATTATCTAGTGGGCCCAGTTCCCTATGATATAGTCCTAGGATTTGATTGGTTGACGAAACATAAAGTTGCCTGGTACTCCCAACCGGATACGTTGAGAACGTATCTGGATGGTAGGTTCTGTGAATTGCCCCTAGTGCACATACACATGGACAAACGAACTGAAGACGGTCTCCAAACCGCGCCCAAACGGACTCTAGCAGAAGACGCGTACGATCTTCTGGCTGGGCAGGTGGCTGAAATGACTGAAGCGGAGGCCGCTGCCCTTCTACGGTCGCTTCCCAAGCGAACTAAGCAACGCACCACGCCTGGAAAGAAAGTGCCTATTCAAGCCTTGATCGAACAAGCACGAACCAACACCACTGGATTACGAACTTCACTACACGGTATGAATATGATATTGGCTTTGCCCAAAGTTGACGGATCCGTTGCCCTTAGGATACCTGCGGAACAACAAGGCGTCTTGTGCTGTGCCATTATTAGCCTTGACAATTCACAGACAGCGGAAGTCCTCCCTACACCTTCAGCAGATATTACGCATACCTCGGATGATGAAGACTCGCCATGGCATACAGCCAAGCTGGACTTCACACTTTTCGACACGTGGATGCAGTCACCCGAGTCCCAGGACCTCCCACGGGAGAAACGTGGAGAGCTGCAGACACATAGAGGAGTTTTCCCTGACAACCTGCCACCAGGCTTACCACCCAAGCTCCCGCACGATCACCACATCATATTAGCCCCTGGCAAGCTCCCAGCTAAATCGGTTATATACCGTATGACTCCTTATCAGCTTCGATTTCACAAGCAGGAAATCGCCAACCTGTCAGCACATTGTTGGATCGGTCCCACGTATTCCCCAATCTGCACGCCTGCGATCATGGTCGATAAGAGGGATGATGGTACAGGCGAGCGTAAGATGCGAATGGTGGTTAACTACCAAGCCCTAAATGCACCTACGGTCGCACCTGACTTTTCGTTACCTCCGATCCAAACGATCTTGGAGATGCCGGGCGGCGCCAAATATTTTTCCACTCTCGACTTAGAGGCAGGCTTCCACCAGATCCGCATGGCCAAAGCGGATCGCTGGAAGAGGGCGTTCCGTTCAGTCTTGGACCTGTTCGAATACAGAGTCTTTCCGTTCGGCCTGATGGGTGCTCCCACTACCTTTCAAGCCAATATAAATGCCTACTTGTAGCCCTTGCTAGGCCACGGTGTTAGTGCATACCTTGATGACGTTCTCATATATTCCGTTTATCTTCCTACTCGCGTTGCTCTCCTACGCAAGTGTTGCGCATCTTTCTCACAAATCAGTTTTACCCGAAATTTCGCAAGTGCCAGTTCGCGCGCCAGGAACTTACGTATTTGGGATATACCATCGGCGCAGAAGGGATAAAACCTGCAGCAGACAAGATTGATGCAATCCGGGTGTGGCCAGAAGTGCTGGAGAACGAGACGCATGCACGGCAGTTCCTTGGTGCTGTTAATTACTGTCGTATGTTCATGGGTCCCGATTATGCTGGCACTTCCCGCCCCCTTGTTACCATGACTCGCAAAGGCCCCCCCTTTCACTGGACAGCCGGATACACCCAGGCGGTTCGCCCCCTCAAGCAGCGTCTCATTGATAATACCACCCTCCAGGTCCCAGACACCTCTAAGCCTTTTGAGCTCTACACCGATGCCTCCTGCTACGCCATTGGCGGCGTACTCGAAGAAGCTGGACTGCCATTTGGGTTCCTCAGTCAGGCCACGACCCCCGTTCAACAGAAATATTCGATCTACGATCAAAAACTGTTGGCACTAGTCACAGCCCTCGACAAGTGGTCTCACCTACTACGCGTCGGTAAGGTTACCGCATTCACCGACCATCAAGGTCTTACCGACTTACGGAAGCTCCAGACGTCCAAGCCCTTGCGGGGACGCTCTGCCCGGTGGTTAGGTTTCCTCGCGGAGTTCCCTGATCTCACTATCACCTATCTACACGGTGCGCGTAATACGGTGGCCGACGCGTTGTCGCGTCTTCCTTGTCATTCCTCTTCACAACCGTCCCCCCCGCCTAGCCCATATTTGCCTCCTCTCTCGGGGTCCTTGGCTCCGCTCATGTTGGCTCCTGCACACCCAGATCCAGCTCTTCACTGCCGGGGGAAGCAGACCAACTACCGGCAGCTGGCTGGCATTCGTCGTCGCACGCCTCGGGCTCGTCCGCAGTCTCCTCCCGTTGCGCTCAAGGCCAGCGAGTTCTCTGCTGAAGGCACCGAGCCATCCGTCATCCTCCCAGTGCAGCCCGCCGATTCCGTAACCCTGGATTGGCCGGCAGCTTATGCGAAGTGTCCCGTTTGCCGAGTCCCCTACAACACGGCGGTCCAGGCAGTCGGTGTAACCGTCCAGGTGGAATTCCGCAATCGCCTGCTAGCCTTCAGATTTGTCACCCCTTTCCTCCGCGTTTGTATACACGGCTTATGGCGTATACGTGTTCCGCAGTTTCCTGAGTTCCTTACACACATTCTATATAACCATCACAATCACGTAACAGCAGGGCATCGGGGTCAGAAGAAAACTCTCTTATCTCTCAGCAAGCTTTATTATTGGCCCGGCATGCGCAGTTACACTACCGCGCCTCTAAGTCCCTCAACCAAAAGCCTGCCGGTCTTCTCCAACAGTTAATTATTCCCTCCCGTCGCTGGAGCCACGTCAGCTTGGATTTCATTACCGAACTCTCGCTTACGAAGACGGGACATGACTCTATCTTTGTGTTGGTTGACTCCCTTAGTAGGGTGGCACACTTCGTCCCCGCGAAAAAAACATTCACAGCCGCAGATACAGTGGATGTTCTCGCCGGTCGCCTTATTCGTTATCATGGGCTACCAGAGGCCTTCATTTCGGACCGTGATCCACGTTTCCAATCAGATCTATGGCAGCAGCTGTGTACG